CTAGTTCATTTTTTGGAACTGTGAACTTAGTTCAAAATTTTGAATTATGAACTATGAACTGAACTAGTTCATTTTAAAATGTGTGAACTGAACTTTTAACTAGTTCACGTAGAAAGATAACTTTCCCCACACTGATAAAGGGCAACGTGGGTGGTGTCCAACTCGCAACCGGAAATGAATCTGGTAATGTAGACCAGGCTATGACACTATATTAAGTTAAAATACTATTTTACAAAGTATTTTGTACAAGTAACTCTTTTTTGCAGTGAAAAAATTGGATTAAATGTTCCAAAGACCTTAAATATAAATATGAATTTCAAAGAGAAATGCACTTACCGTATTTTGCGCAACTATAAGGCGCATATAAACGTCTTTTTTTCCCTCAAAATGTGCGGCGCGCCCTATAGTGCGGTGCGCCCTATGTGTGTTGTTACGCCGGAAGTTGTTGAGACCACTATGAGAACTTTAAAGGGGGAAGTGTGGGCGTGGATTGTGTATAAAAGAACATGTATGTGCTTAATGCAGAACTCCTCATCTCCTCATTGAGGAGATGATGAAAGAGTGGCTGAGGGAGGTGTATGTAAGGAGACCAGGTGTTTTTTTCCACGCATCACCATCGCTGTTAATCTGTGACTCCATGCGTGCCCATCTCACAGCCGATGTGAAAAACATGGTGAAACAAATGAACGCTGTGCTTGCTGTTATTCCGGGAGGTCTGACAAAGGAACTTCAACTGCTCGACATCGGTGTGAACCGTCCGTTCAAAGTAATGCTACGTTCTTACCGGACGCAGCAAGAGCAAGAGTCTGCTGCTTCATTTTTGCTGCTTGTACCAGTTAGTTCTGACGGGCGGTTGAAGCAGCTTTGCTGCTCTAGCTGCCCGATGCAAAAGTGTGTCTGACGCGCGTTGGGCGGAGCTACTCTATCCTTTCTTTGCCTTGCAGCTATATTTGCTGTGATCAGTGGAAATAAAGTAGTTTTAATATGTTTTTAAGTGAGAAAGTCAACCTGAAAACTTAATAATTGCAGTCAGTCCATCCTACCATCCTGCCTTCCAATATTAGTTCTGTTGGAGCCGCTCAAACCCCCACATACCAGCGGTGCGCTGTCAGTTGGAATCCCATTCAACAGCAGCCTCTGGCCGGGTCGCCTCCTCGTGGTTCACCGCGGCAGCTGGTAGGTGTTTTTCATCTAAATAATCTAAACTGCAGGCACCAGGATAATAAAAGCGAACATATTCTGCCGGCAGATTTCTGCATTTTAAGTTAATTTATGCATCAATTAATTGTTTCAGAGGAGTGATCACAGCGCTCTGTGTCATCAGCATGTGTCATGTGTCTGTCTCACGGCCAGCTCCCAGGTTTGATTAATACTTTGTAATAAATACATGAATAAAGCACAAACATACTCAGTTTTGCTCCCGCTCTATTTTTAAATACGCAGTAGAGGTATTTAAACGTAGTAGAGGACATGTACCGGTATATAAAACCTGCGCCCTATAATCCGGTGCACCTTATGTGTGTGTTAAATACAGCAATGGCACACATAACTGAGACTGCGCCTTTTAGTACGGTGCGCCTTATGGTCGTGAAAATACAGTATCTAAAAATATCTCTGATCAATAAAATTTATACTTTTAATAGAACTGTGGTACAATGAACAGGCCTGTTGCAACAAAGGCAAGCAAACCAAGCAGTTGCCCCCAGAAAATGGCCGACCAGGTTACAAACTGTATCTACTGACTCACAGTACGAGAGCCAATAAAACACAATAAAATCTATGCAGCGCATAAAATAAAATGCAACAAGGTTTATTCAGTGTATTTTGATGATTGATCAAAAAAATGGTTAACATCTCCATTTTTTAAAAGCATTCTTTGTTTACAGCATTTTTCAAACCTGCCTAAAGAGTTTACAAAGTACTATACTTCTGAGGATTAGCACCACATCATCATTGTCCTAGAATAACCAAATAAATACCCTCATATGCAAATACAAATGTCTCAGGCCACCTCTGAAGTATGTTATGAAGAAAACCATACTTAGTTTTACTTCCCAGTTTAGAGATATTGTTTTGAAAAGGGATTATAAGGGATATTACACAATGAATATAAAGTATCGCTCAGTGACGCAGTGGGTGGCACTGCTGCCTTGCAGCAAGAAGGTTCTGGGTTTGATTCCTGGCCCGGGGTCTTTCTGCATGGAGTTTGCATGTTCTCCCTGAGCATGCATGGGTTCTCTCTGGGTACTCTGGCTTCCTCCCACAGTCCAAAAACATGACTGTTAGGTTAATTGGTTTCTCTAAATTGTCCTTAGGTGTGAGTGTGTGTGTGAATGGTTGTTTTTCCTGATTGTCCTGTGATGGAATCGCGACCTGTCTCGCCCATAGACAACTGGAGATAGGCACCAGCACCCCTTGCGACCCCACTTGGGATTAAGCATGTAAAAAAAATGGATGGATGGATGTATATAAAGTATCAATCAAAAAATTGTGAGTGTCACCCTGTAAAAACAGGACAATTTCTGTACAAATATGTACTGTTCTAACTCACACTGCTGTCATGATTGTGTCTATTTATTTTAGTACAATAAATGTGAAAAAGAAGACAGATTTAGATGCATGATCATGCACAAAAAAAAACAGCCAAAAATGTTTTTATTTTTATTATTCCTATATTAATAACATTCAAACATGTGATGCTTCATTTACACTGAATGAGTTATAAAACATTTCAATATGTGTTTTTGTACTAAATACAATGTTTCCTGCTTTTCAGTATGGTTTTGTTGGACGTTGGCTGAATCCAGGAAGAAGCACAACTGGAGCTTTGGATTTAGGTGGAGCTTCCACTCAGATTACATTTCAAACCTCCCAAAAGTTGGAGAACCAAGATAATCTGATGAAACTAACCCTTTATGGAAAAACCTACACATTGTACACCCAGAGTTTCCTGTGCTATGGACAAGACCAGTTTCTCAGGAAACTGTTGGCTCATCTTATCCAGGTATCAATGATACAAATTTCAGGTTAGGTTTCTGGTGCGTTTATCTTTATATGGGTTCAAACAAGCGTTTCGACAACCAATTATCCAGAGAACTGAAAAGACAATGCATTTTGATTTGTGCGAGAGAAGTAAAACAATCCAAAATTTTAAGAGCTTAATCTGCATCTAAGCTTCATTCTATGCATACCAACAGATGAGAACATTCCTTTCTGTCACGCCTCAATCTTAATTTATATTACATTATACATATATTACAAAAGACAACTCTATAGTGATCCAGATTCTTCAAAATATGCAAACTATCTGCAAACTGGAACCACTAAAATAAAAACTTCCCATGGATATGTCTGTGAAGATTCTCAGTCATCCAGGTAATGGTCAAGCTTGAAAAGTTCAGTGAGATGTGAGATATGACATCATAGGAGACCATGGTCATCAGTGTCCAGTATCGATGTCAGGTCTTCAAACCCGGCAACACCTTGAGACAAAAACGGCTTCACCATAAAGATAAGACACACAGAAACAAGGCCAACAACTTTGTTTACACCGCACATGTCATGAAGAGTGCACAGACCTGTATAATGGAGAGACCAAGCAACCGCTTCACAGATGCGTGGCTCAACACAGAAGGGCCAGCTCCTCAGGACAGGACTCAGCTGTTCACCCACACATGAACGCTAAAGGACAGTAGTTTGAGGACAACAACGTCCATATTCTGGCCAAGGCAGAAAGATGGTTTGAGCAGGGAGTTAAGGAAGCCATCATTGTTAACCTGGAAAAAACATCCCTCAATAGAAGAGGTGGTCTTAGACATAACCAGAAGATTCCCCTCTTAACTGCCCTTACATTTTAATGAGCCATGTGACCGAAATCACTCTGACAAGGGAGTAAACGACGCATCAGAACCCCCTAATGAGCATTGACACCTCCATGGCCAATCCAGTAGGAGGGATGAGTGTGATGATCCTGGAACCGGAGCTGACTCTGTCTCCTATTATCACTCTGGTTCAGTCTCCACCCTCTTTGCAGTCATCTCCACTGGTTTCACTTGTCGCCTCCTGCATATAAGCTCCGTCCCGATCAGTCTCCAGTGCCAGATTGTTTCGAGCCAACCCAGTGAGAACCTTCCAGCCTGTTTCCTGAAAACCCGTCTGCCTGCCTGCCTGTTATAGATCCTGTCTTGTCCCCTGATCTTTGAGCCTGCCTGACCTCTTGTTGGATTTGTCTGCCTGCCTGAGAACAGCTCTGTCAGTCTCTGGATACTGGATTGATTATCTGTGGTTATGACCCGTTCTGCCTGCAAATTACTGAACCTATCTGCCTCCTCCAACATTCTTTGATACTCAGAGTTCATATCTGGATCCTAAACTGGACAAACCTACTGGATATTCCCTCTGTTCATCTGCTGGATGTCTGAACCTATCTCTGGACACACTGCCTGTCCCTGGCTGGCTCTCAGAGTCTGGACTCCATGCGTAGTCAGGACTTACCAGCCTGCACACGAGAGCTGTATGCCCAAGAGTCAGGGTTTCTATTACCTGTCTTTTTAATAAACTATTAAAATTGTCACTGACCTGTTGTGGTGAATCTTGGGTCTGTATCCGGCGCATTACAATAAGAGCCATATTTTGTTTTCCCCAGTTCATTGTTACGCCTACAGTATATTCATCTCAGTGCTCCCCACCATTTCTTAGAACTTAATAAGCCTCTTGGGTGACAGGCGAAACGTCTTTTAGAAATCTTCTAAACAAGACCTTTCAAGCTTTCGCATGGATAATAATCTAATTATATTCACAGTACAGTAGTGAATACTTTCCTTTTTTCTTTAGTCCAAGATCAACTCTATAGATCTTAGACAATCCAAAATGCAATCATAGCGCTATATAAAAGGAAAAGAATGCAATAAGTGTATAGAACTGGGACCATGATTTTTTGTTATCTAACCGTTTGCAGTCCTTTGTGCTTAGGGTTCTGTCAAGCCTCAGAACTGTTACCTTGCAATGAGTTGAAGAGAGAAATCCTTTTTCACTTCTGCTGTTGCTGTAAAAAATAGAGGGGGCTCCTATCAGTCTTGAGGTAGTTATCAGAGTTGGGTAGCCTTCCCCAAAATTGTAGTCAAGTAATAGCAGCAGTACTTTAACATTTTTTTTCTCAAATAAAAGTAAAAACTAGTAATAGAAGAAAACACTCAAGAGAGAGTAAAAAAGGAACATGTTAAAGGTCACTCAAGTACCGAGTAATTGTTGAATGATATACTCTGGTTTAATGTTTAGATGTGATGGAACTATGTCATTTGTTCATACCAGTATTCCTTGATTCTCATCACTGCCTCAACACTATGTTGGTCCCAGCAAGCTGGAGTATTTTCGTGATTAAAAAGACAGTAAAAAAATTATAACACTAAGTTTGGCTGTTCTTTCCCCATTTCTGACTTTCATCTTTTTTCCACTTTCAGAGGCAACATGCGACAGGACATCTAATCAACCCCTGCTATCCACGAATGTTTAATATTTCTATGAACCTAGAGAAAGACATCTTTGATTCTCCTTGTACAAAGGAATACAGACCAGCCCAATATTCTCAGATGACTATAAAAGTGGTGGGCAATGGAGATTACAACCAGTGTGTCAAAACTGTATCTGAAATCTTCAATTTTAGCCACTGTTCCTACTCAATGTGTTCCTTTGATGGAGTGTTTCAGCCAAAGGTGACAGGGAGCTTCATGGTAAGATGATCTTTAAAAATAAAACTAAATAAATTTAGAATATGTTTGAAGAATCTGGCACAAATTTACTCTATGCTAACTTTTCAGATTCATCATTTCCCTTACAGCTAACTGCAGCCCTTGTTTAAAGACTTTATGGAGCAGAAGTTTGTTCAGGAGAAATTTCTGCTTGACTAAAACTCATACTCGTTATCTTCCACTTAGCCACAACCAGGTCGCAGTCTAAACAGAGACACCAAGACTTTCCTTCCCTCAGACAACTCCTACAGCTACTCTGGGGGAAGTCTGAGGCATTCTGGGGCCAGTGCGAAAGACAAAGCCCCTCCAGCCTCCCCCGGGCTGTCACCTGGGCCGCATCCCAGTGGGACATGCCTGGAACACCTCTATAGGGAGGTGTCCAGGGAGCATATGCAGCCAACTCCTTTTTATGCTCTGGAGAAGCGTCTCTAATCTGAGACCAGTAATCTGTGCCCTTGTTACATTTCTGCTGGAACGTTGCACTTTATTCATGGGGTGAACCAGTCCTCCCTCGCACCCAAAATTGGTGCAAAATTCGGTCACATCCATTTTAACTGCAGGTACATAAGAGGGAGCACATAACAGTGCTGGCGTCCCTCCATTGGCTACCTGTCCCTTTTAGGTTTTATTTTAGGAAAAATTTATTTGGTTTTAAAGCTTTAAATAGTTTTGCCCCTCCTCACCTGCTGCTCCTGGAGATATCGAGCTCCAGGCGGAAGCTCAAAGGGGACAGAGCTTTTTTCGCTGTTGCGCCAAAACTGTGTAATGATCTGCCCCTCCTCATTACCTATTTCTAAAGCTCATCCTAAAAACTACTTTTATTTATTTTTTTTTTTTCAACACAGTATCAAAATCATTAACAGACTTCTGACCTAGGGTGTTTTGGTGCCAAATCCACTGATGAACACAGAAAACAGTAATTATTGCATTGTTACAATTTCAACTTGATGTAGTTTGCATTTTATTATCCAGATTAACATTAAATAATGCAATAATGAGTTGAAGTGGAAATTTTATATGCATTTCCGATGATAAAGCCATTTTACCAGAGCTGTCCCAAGGTTACATAGAGTCCCTTTTCCTGATAAGAGCATCACAACTACCAATTGGTGGAAACTATGAGAAGGGCTCTCTCAAAGTCAGTTCATTGATGAGTGATATTGTTTGTGTAAATATACTGAGCTTGAACACAGTGAAAATGTTAAAGTGGTATCTTTAGATCTGTAACTTGTCACATCAGTCAAACAATAAGTATCCTCTCTTTTCCATGATTTGGTGATTTCAGAGTTTCTAATTTACATTTTTGTGTGTTTATTTGGACCATATTCCTGCCATCCTGATAATGTGATTTATTCCTTTTGTCTCCATAAGTACTACAGTATTTCCAATGCACATTATTGTTTTGAGTTTTCCTTTTATTTTTTATAATTATTCTAGGTTCTCTGTAAATGTAGGATTTTTACGTTAGTTCTTTATTATTAATTTTCGTTTTGGTTTTCCTATACTGCCATGCAGTTTAACTCATGTCTATAAGTCCCTTTAACTTACTATTTAACCAGCTTCATTTAGTCTGCCTTTGCAATGCCTATCCATGTCCCAGTTTGATCTGTGTATGGCACTAAATATACTAATTAGTTTGCTTTGCTCCTGGCTTTCATTTTGCATTTGATATGTGTTGTAAATGGCAAAACAGGTAAAAACTATACAATATACATCATCTAAAAATAATGATATGTCTTTCAGACAGACAGACAGAGAAAGAGAGAGATAACAGAAAGGTTTTTAATCTTAAGTGGAACATAATTATAATTTTTGTAGAATTTTATCTTAATTTCTGATGTAAATCTGATACTTTGAGTTAAACTACCCCTTTGTAGCTCTGGCTGGTTGTTTAGGTCCAGGCCTACTGGAAGGTGACCTCTACCCCTGCCATTATATTTTGCAACCTTGTAGTGATTGTTTTCTTGTCATCTTCTTTTCTTCATGTCGCCTATGCCTTGTTCTACATACCCCATTGTCTGTTCAACTTGTTCATTGTTTTTCCTTAATATTTTTTGCAGCCTCATGGTCTGCTTGGATCATTTTAAGCATGTTTTAAAAATGTATATATATGTGGATTAATAAGATGTAATCCTGGTTGTAACAGTGTATTGTCTCTTCACAGGCATTCTCCGCTTTCTACTTCACTCAGAAATACATCAAAGAAATTACCAACATAACGCTCACATCGCCTAGCCGTGCTGTGGAAGCAGCCAAGCTTATCTGCAATATGACTATCAGAGAGGTACTTTTCTACAACTACATACTGTAGACATTTAAAGTAATTAGTATATATACAAGGACTAAAAGTAAAAAGTTATCACAGACATATTAGGACTGAAATGGAACCTATTTTTTCTCATTTACAGATAATGGACAAGACAAATCAGTCAGAGAAATACATGAAGAATATCTGTGCCATGTCAAATTTTGTACAGATTCTATTAACCAATGCGTACCATTTTGATGAGGCTTCCTTTCCTTCTATTTCCTTTCAGAAGAAGGTGAGACATAAACAGAACAAACACCATAATGGTCCTTATTTGATGTAAACCATCTCTCTGTTTTCACTACAGGCAGGGGGAGCTTCTGTGGGATGGGCTTTGGGATATATGCTGAACGTGAGCAATGAAGTGCCAGCAGAGAGTCTTAGCGTGATGAAGGCTCTCCCCCCGAAATGTTGGAGTGGCATCATCTTCCTCTTTGTTGTATTTCTTCTTTTTGTTCTGGTATATGGCATGATGATCTGCAGCAATGCAAACATTAGAGGAGAAGATTTCCGATTCTAAGGGTAACACACCACCTGAATTTTTTTAAGAGCTAAGAAGTTTTTTTTTCTTCAGCATTTGGTTTATAAAACAAATTTGTAACCACAACTGTTTGTATAAAATTAAACTAACCAAGAACTGTCACCAGCAAAGCAATCGTCTAATATAACATGTTGAACAAACATCATACTCTGCTCTGAAAAATATTGGCTCTCAGTGGAGACTCTCTATATGGATTTCTTCTGTTTTTATTTTGCTATTATAAAAACTGGAATTTTTAGATTGGCCAAGCAAACTTTGAATTCACGGTGGTAAATCTTTGAAAGCACTTGAGCTTAAAGGTATAGTGGAGGATCTTTGCAGATTTTTGAAAAGACCCACCCTCTCCAATTAAAAAAAATGCACATGCACAACACAACAACTGTACCTGCACCTGAGAGGGAATGACTATTAATCACATGCATGAGCGCATTTCTCCTTGTGCACGTTCTCTTTAAAAGTTGCTGTTTGCATTGCTCATACAAGCTTACTTTTAGGGATTTGTAGTTTTTCCACTGTCAGACTCACCACAGTGAAAATGGGGACGAGCATGTAGAACAGCCTTACATAAACATATCACCAGAATGATTGACAACTCAACTGGGAGGACCACTTATTTTAATTATCCACTCAGAAAAAGAACATCCTCGACTATACCTTTAAGGTCACAAAATCTCCCTCATGATATTCTGTTAGAGAGGAGGACGCTCCATCATGGGTGGTTCTAGACAGAGGCCAGCAGGGGTCACTGCCCCTGTAGAACTTATCCTGGTAAATTTTATGGCTCCTGTACCTAAGACATACACAGCATAAATGTATCATGATGACAAGCATAGACACCATCAATTATTGGTCCTTTGCACCCATCTCATTTTTTACCTTTACAGTTGTGTTTTAACTATACTTTTATCAATTGTTACAAAAGTTATTCTAGCTTGCCTAAATCTATATTTTCATTTTAGAAAAAAAAAATCATTATTTCTGAAACATGAACATTCACTAAAATCATACTCCAAAGAATATCTTTATTTGATCTTTTATCTGTTTTCCTGAGACAACATAATACTTTTGTAAAACCGAATCTTTAAAAAAATAAACACATTTAAATGCATCAGTCTTTTAAACTTTTCAAGGCATTTTGCACATAGTAGACCACATTGCAATCACATTTAAATACAAAGTAGAACCTGCTTTTTTTCTACAACTGCCACGTTTCCCATGGTGTTACATCACTAGCTACACCAATCATCAAATGGTTGGGCAATAAGGTCACAATCACCGACTTATGAGAGGGATAGCATGTGGTCTTGCAACAACATCAACACTTTTGCCATGTTTTATGTTTCATTTCCAATGTGAAAAACACTGGGAGATGTATTATTAATCATAGGAGACCACTTCTTTTTAAAGAAGTGGATAGTGTCATGATTTTATCTAAGGCTCGGACCCACATGGAGTGAAACCAAACAGAGAGACACGGATGAAAAGTATGACGGATTTTATTGAAGAAGTTAAGCTAGGTGCAGAGTTTCCCTGAACTCTGCTCAGCCGGAACTGGAAGGTGAGGGGAAGACAGACTGTTAGTTCAGGCTCAGTGGGAAATTTGATTCGATGATCTTGAAGGAGAGGATCTGATTGTTGACTCACATTTCCAGAAGTGAAGGATCCTTGACTCCAATCTGTGTGTTGGTTTTCCAGTGTATGTCTGATTCGGCGGAGGGCGGAACAGGGTTTACCCAGAACTCGGACGGTGTATGTGAACGGAGACGCTGATTGCCACTCAGATTTCCTGCTGCACTTGAACGGGTCGTGGTGAAGATGATTCCCTTGCTCATAGAGTAATTTCAACGTCCTCAAAAAGGAGACTGGATCCAAACCTCCTGTTTGAATCCTTGGCTCAGTTTAAAGGAATAGTACACCCAAAACATGATTAGCCTTCATTTTCTACTCACCCCCATGCTGAACAACACTCTGGAGTA